CACAGAGCCTTATGACATTATTTATTATAACAAAGTGCCTGTTTTGCTGAGCGGCTAAATACCTGTTAGAGACAAAGGCTGATGTCAAAACTTCTACTGACTCTACTTACAGCAGAATTTTCCTCATCACCTTGACATTTAGTCAGTACAGGTAGCAGAAGACTACTCTGTTTGACCATGGTATACAATTTCATACCTGTAGTGCTGAAGCAGTAGCCTTTCCTTTTTGTTTTCCAATCACTTTCAAAATTCTTCTTCCAACTCCTAGCCCTTTGGTTTTTTTAGTATTTCCTTTTAAAACATAGAAGTGTATTATTCCAGAGGAGTTTGTGTGGATGCACTGTACTGAGAGACAAAATAGCATCTTTGTTCCAGTTGTGTTACCTTCCTGCAAAGACTGAGCTAGCTGCTTGTGGAGAAATCGGGGGAAATTTCTACAGTAATGGAGATGGTACTTTTTTAAAAAACATTCATGGTATCATGAAAGCATTCATGTAATCTTAAATGTGAAAACAATCACGTTATCTTAAATGTGGCTTCTAAAAGAAATGTTTCCTAAAATACAATGTGTAATACAAACTTGGCTATATATGCAAAGGAAAACTAATTGCAGGGAAACAGAATTACTGTCTCAAATCCAAAGAGCTTGAGACAGGAAAGTTTCTGTCATTCCTCTTGAGAAATTAGAGCCCATTCACATTTAAGCTCTTCTCAGAAGCTTGTTCTGAACTTCTTGGAAAGAATTCAGGAAAGTGGAACAAATAGCATTTATTGTGATTCTGCGGTCTTTTACAATGGACAATATTATTGAAAATTATTTAGAAGGAACTTCATCATATTAGCCCAGTAGAAGTGCATGCCTCTGGATAATAAATGCCAATTTACAGGAGCTTTGCTAACTGGCATCACTCTTTATGAACTTATAAGAAGCAGTCCCTGAGCTCCTGAGGGGCCTGCAAACCACTCAGGGGAAAAACTCAGACCTATTCTGTTTGGGGTTTATACCATGGCACAGCAACAGGTTCAGGAAATACAGAACAACTCAGACTCCAGTCAGTATCAAAAATTAGCAGCCCTGGAAGTTCAGGGTAAGGTGACAGGGGTGTGTCAGTAAGTTTATTATAATTATCAGGTACTATGATGGGGTGTGTTGCATGGATCATCGTTGATGTTCCTAATTAAGCTGCTGATGTACAGAAAGCTATGCCAACAGGTATCTTTACAGGTCTGGATGCCAAGGCAAGAGCAGGAAAAAAGTAGGGAATTCATGCCTTTTTGTATTTTCATGCAGTAGAAAACAAGGGAATCAAAGGCTTAGACTCGAAAATGTGAAGGTGCTTCAGGGTGTTCTGTGAACAAAACCACGACCGTCTGATTTTCCCAGCGAAAGAATATCTCCAGGGGGGAGGATGTTTTTGTAGTAAAGTATAACTTTTTAGGATGTGCAGATTCAGTGTAAGTACTGCTCCATTATTGGGTGGGTGGCTGGGTGAGACAGCAGAATAAATGGCTCGGTTTGCAGGGATGAGTAACGACCCAATTCCTCTGCTGAACTAAGGTGTGATTCCTTGGCAGGCTGATGTTGCTGTGGAGGCTGCATTCATTTGTATTTGCATACTATGGGGATTACTTTACACGGATCGCCTTCATTCTGTGTCTGAGCTGATGCTGAATCTTCTCTGTGGTGTTTATTACCTCAGACTGTATCTGCTCAGGAATTCTGTTCGAAAGGGGGAGTTTTTCACTCAGGGAGCACAGGTGTATGGCGGGAGGTAAAGCGATTTATGTGGAAAAAATAAGGAAATCTGCATTCAAACACGCTCTTTAGGTAATGGGAAGTTTAGTATGTCATTTGGTGCCAATTTAAGATAATTTCCTCTCCTGCTACAGAGATGTGAACTGAACCGCAGATTGTGTTGGCTCTTTCTAGTCTTTGAGAAGTATCAAAGTTAACGAGCCAGAGGGATAACGCTGGGGGCTGAGAATAGGGAGCGTGCAGTTTTATTCTTGCCCCGGCAATTATGCGCTACGCATGTGGCCACGGCGTTTAACTCTTGGTACCCTCAGTTTCTCTGCTTGACAAAATAGTGACTCACGCGTTCTGCGCGGGGAGCCAGCGCAGCGCTACCATTCCTGCTTGCGAAATCGCCTTTAAATCTTTCTGGAGAGAAGCCTTAATGGTCGCAGGGTAAGGCCAGCAGTGCCGCGGGCGGGATGCGGGCGCAGACACGTATCATTTCCCAGCCGCCCATCTGCGCGTTTTCCAGCCCGCTGGAACACCACGGGCGGGAGCCGGGCGGCCGCGCTCCCCCGGGGGCTCCGCGGGGCGGCGGGAGCCCCGCACGGTGCGGCCGGGCCCGCCAAGAGTTAACGGCGGCTCCCCCGGGGCCGCGCCGCCGCCTCCCCACGCCGGCGCTGCATTATTATTATTACCGCTCCCCCCTTCCCCTCGCCTTCCAGTTTTGGCAGGGGATTAAAGCAGCTCCCCCCTGTGGCAGCAGTGACCCAGAAACGAGTTTGATTCACGGAGTCCTTCCTCCATAACAAGTACAAACGTCAGTCAGAGGGAATCTGTGTGTGTGAGAGAGAGAGTGTGTGTGTGTGTGCTGTGCGTGTGTGTGGCGCAGCGAGCCGCTCTCCGTGCCCGCTGCCCGAACTCATGCGGCGGCCCCGAGCCCTCCGCGCAGGGGGAGCCCGGCCGCGCCGCCCGCCCTCGCCGCCGCCGCGCCGCCGCCAGCAGGTAACCGTGCCCGCCGCAGCGCCAGCCGCGGAGCCGCCAGCACAGCCATATTTGATGGGGTTTTTTTGTCGCTCCGGAGGCGGCGGGAGAGCAGTTTCGTGCCGAAGGTCGCTGCCTAGTGGAAATAAGATAGTACGTCATTAACATGGCGCCAAGAGCCGCGCCGCTCGGTACGGGGCGAGGGGAGGCGGCCGAGTTGCGGCTCCGCTATCCCACAAGCAACTTGTGCGGGGCTGTGGCGGGGCGGAGGCGGGAGGGGAGGCAGCGCTGCCGCCCGGTGCCGGCTCCGGCTCCCTTTTTGTTCCGCTGCACCGCGCAGCTGCCCAGGTGCGGCGGCCAAGTGAGGCAGCCGCCGGTGTTCCGTGCCGTGCCGTTCTGCGCCGTGCCGTGCCGTGCCGCCGGCCCTGCGCCCCAGGCGTCGCTGCAGGCTGCGCCGCGGGGGCAGCGCCGGGATCGCCCGCCGCGGAAAGTAGGGAGCGTTGGAGCAAGTTGGTAGCCAGATGGCAATGGCAGAGCGCAAGTCTTGCTCGGATAGTGATGTGTAGGAAGGGGGTGGGGGAGAGAGAGAGAGCCATGGCCACTGTGTGGCACCGTGTTACCCAGATGCCCACGAGAGCCGTCGCCTCTCGCCGCGGGCGGGGAGCGCTGTGCGTGGGAGAGGAGGTGTTCGGTGTGCGGGAGCAGCTTTGCTTCCCCCCCTCCCTTTTACCCCCCCACCCCCAGTCGCAGTTGGATTTGGCTTGTGGGGGGGAAAAATGCTTGGAAAGCATAAAAACTGCTCATCGGTGAAATTAAACAGAAGTTGCCTTTTGGAGCCGCAGCCGGTGTGCCTCCCGCTCCATGGGCGCTGGAGGCGCGGAGCGCCGGGCTGTCAGAGCTGGCCCCGTCCCCCTAGATGGGTGCGCGGTGTCTCCCGCTGGAGAGCGACTTGCCCGAGCCCCGAAGTGCACGTGTTTGAGAGTGGGAAAAGGCGGGGAAATGCGCGGGGCGGCATCGGGGCAGCGGCCGGCAGGTGCACGGCGCCCCCGGCCGCGGGGGCTGCGGCGGGAGCGGCGCGGGGGGCGCGCACAGAACTTGGGCAGGACGCGGGGGGGCCCGGCCCCTCCCGGCGCTGCCTCCCGGCGCAGGCCGAGGGGCGAACCCGCGTGGCCGGGCCGGAGTTTGTGGGCGAGGGAGCGCAAAGGCGGCCGGCGGTGTCGGGGCGCCACCGTAACATCGCGGGGGGAGCGCGGGGAGCGGCGGCGGACGCCCCAAGTTGCTCGGGCGGCGGTCGGGGCAGCTCGGCGGCGCGGCTCTTGCCCCGGTGCCCGGCGAGCGGGACGGAGCGGGGCTGCGGCATTGCTGTGTAGCGGGCCGCTCTCCCCGGGGAGGTGAGTGCGGCTCCAGCCATCGTTCCACTTGTTCCTCTTAGACAAAGCCACCCTGCCCGCCCCTGGGCTCGCCTAGTCGCCAGCTCCCAGGAGAATTTTGGCGGTGTTCGGTTTGTGGATTTTTGGGGGGGGGGAGGAGGTGGAGGGGGGATGTTTTGTTGTTTCGGTTTAATTTGCGGAATTTTTTTTTTTATTATTTGCTTTTCCCTTCCCGTTCGCGCCCGCCCGTTGGTTCCCGATAGGATGATTTTGGGAAGGGTGGAGGCAAAGGGTGTTTGTTTGTTTGCACCGCCTGCTGGTTGGTTTCCTGTGACAAGAGGTGATAACACAGTTTCCAGAACTGTCTGGGAGTGGGAGGAGAGACGGACAGAGAAAATGAGCTCGTCTCCGAGCCGCCGCTCCATCCGCCGTCCCGTCCGCCCCCGGGGGGAGGCGGGCGGGGAAGGTGCCGCGGCCGTTTTGGGCAGTGACAGCGCTTGGAGCCAGCGGCGGCGGAGCCGGGGGCACCAAGTTTGATTTGCAGCCGTGGCCGAGCGGATTGGTGCGGCCGGCGGCGGGGAGGAGCGGCTGCCGGCAGGCAGGAGAAGGAGGGGGCGAGCCGGGCTGCTTCCCATGGCAGCTGGCCGGGAAGGTGCCACCCCCGCGGGGGAGGTGTAGCCCGGCCGGGAGGCTGCTCCGTGACCTCGGCCCGCCGTGCCCCGCTGGCTCCGGGGTGGCGGGCGCGGAGCCGAGATGGGATCGCTGCGGGAGGAGGAGGAGGATGAGGAGAGCCGCCGTGAGCGGCACCCGGCCGGGCTGCAGCCGGGGATCGGCGTGAGCGCGGCTTTGGAAGTGAGTCCCGAAGGCTCGGCTGCTGTCAGCCTGCGGGAAGCGGCTCCGAGCCCGCACCTGCCGCCGGCCAGCTTCTCCTGCCGGCCCTCTCCGGCTGATCGGCTCCTTCTGAGAAAGTTTATTAGGCTCACCGGCAGGTGAGAGCCGGGGCATCCTGAGATCTGTCAGCCCCTCACCCCTTCCCAGTCAAACAGGCCGAAATTCCAGCAGGATTTAGCGACACATCTTAATTGACGTTTTGATGTCAAAGGCTGAAGATGCTTTTATGCCAGCCCCATTTTTCTGAGAAACATTTAGCTGTTATTTGGAATAATTTCCTTTTTAAGCAGGTGCTGTCTTTTGACTAAGTCAGAAGCTGCCCACACTTGCAAACCTAAAACCTTCATTAAAGTTCTGCCAAAATGTGCTTGTTATGATTCTATTTCTAGAGGTTTCTCACACTCAGTGGGATATTGTTGAAACAGCAAGGATTGTATGTTTTAGTGGCAGGATTTTCCCTCTGGCTTCAGATACCACTTGCTCCCTGCTTTTGAGCTATGTTTAATACATATGTTTAAAATAAAATAATAATAATAAACTCCCCTTTCCTCTCACAGCTGCAGATTTCCCTTCCAGCTTCTCTGGTTTCATTCCCAATTCACAGAACTAGTAAAAAAACCCAAACTTCCAGTGTTTCCTCAAATGATTTCTCCATGTGTTTAGTACTGCTGCTTCATGCTCCTGTTTTCAGCTGGAGATGACCAAAGTGGAAGAGATGAACTGCACTGGGTACAGGTTGGGTTGCATTAATTCTTGGAACCCAGTTTATGCATTGCTCAAGATTTTGTATGGTCAGGTTCTCTCACTCCCCCACACTTTGGGAATAATTTGCTGGCGCTGCTCAGGTAGGAAGTTGACATTATGAGCTGGCTTGCACAGGTGCATAAATGAGCACGTGGATTCCTGAGAAGTGTTGGTTGATATGGCCAAATTGTGCTTTTTTCATGTATTGATAAATTTTGAATAGGTGTGCTGAATTTAGTAGAAATATTCCCTGTGGAGAACACTGTTGGGCTTGTTTGCCAAGTACTTCTTTGTTTTGTGAGACTTGGAAGATTTTCATCCTCCAGATTTAAGGTCTGTGACTCTTTGCACTGTGGACGGTGCTGCATAATG